TGCACATAGCCAAGCTATTAAAATCTATTTTTCCTCATTTTATCGCATACTAGAGCCACCCCTAAATTCCCTCCGTCACTATCCAAAAATTGAGTAGTTTTGCCAAAATTCCAGGTTGCGTGGTTTTTAGGGGGGTAAATCCAAGGGCGTACTCTAGTTTTTTTTTTTTTCTTTATATTGGTCTCCAATTAGGGTTTTGCTTGAGGGAGCATTTGTACCTTTTGCTCCCACATGAGAATGTAGTCTCTTCAAATCTTATTAAGCAACTACCCCCTTGACCGTCCACGCTATGGCCGCTACGGAGCTCAAAGTGGGAGGAAGTGTAAAACTGCAAAATATTAAAGAGGAATCTATTTGTATATCCCATTTAAATATTATAATTACAAAAATTTCTCTAAATTTTTGTATATTGGATGCATATCCCTTTTATCCATTTTTTTTTTCAATCTTACCCTAACTTCGGATATTGAAATTTCAAAATCCTAAGTCATTTTTTAAAATGATCTTTCACGTTGGATTTTGAATATTTGAAGTTGCATGGAAATTTTAATTACAGTGCTTCCTCATATATTAAAAATTTGAAGCCAAGAGTCAGATTCTCAATATCAAAAGTGATTTTGATTTTCCCTAAAATTTACTTTAAAAAATATATAACTACGGATATTGAAAATTTGAAGTTATTTATCACTTAGGATATTCAATTTCTTTAGGGGTAAATTTTGAATTAAAAAAAAGGGTGGGGTTTGTATGAGGCCAATCTTCTAAACAATTGAAATAAGGTGTACCTTCAAATGGTATGAAAATATAATGTTTTAGTATTGAAAATCTTTACGACTGTCTGAAACTTATTTTCATCTTTGATTATAAAATTTAAATATTAAAAAAGAGTGTAGATCGAGCAGATCTAAGGGCACTCAAAAATCTTGCAAAATTGACGTTCTAAATAATACATTACATGATGCATTGTTTCCAAAACTTGAAATCTATTTTTCTCATGTTCATACATCTTGAGGTCGAGATGATCGAATTGAGTGTTTTTCAGTATCGAAACAACCCCTTCTAGTGAATTTTTGAGGCACGCCTTAATTTGATTGTTTAGGACCTCGCCCTTGCCTTTAAAAAAAAGATATGGATAAAACAGATAGACCAGTGATATATAAAAATTTAAAATATTTATATAATTATAAGTTTTAAATGGGATATTAAAGGTGAATTTCTCAACACTAGAAAAAGTAAGGTAGAGATAGAAACGAATATGGAAAGGACTACGAAGAAATTCGGGGTCATTGCCAGTTGCATCCCTCATTATTTGATATTTACCCCTCTCTCTCTCTCTCTGTGCAAAATATTCATCTGGTCTGGTACTGTATCTTCCAATGAAAATTTTAATAGCCACACATGCTACTCCCCCCGTACTCTTTACCAAGGTACATAAAACTTTTGGAGCGATTGGGGCTGCTCGGTTTCCATTTGGGTTAGAAATTACATTTTGTAAATAAAATAAAAATGGAGAGAGAAAAAAGTTTATATAGAAGAAATAAAATTGTAGTATATCTACATCATCCATTTTATGGTATAAATTTGGTTGTCTTAAAAGATGTGAGAAGTCTGTACTATCTGAAATACTGTGATCTCATCCCTTCTTTTCTTTCCGAGAATGAAACTTCTATGGAATAGAAACAAATGAATAAAATGGATAGTGCGAATTACGGCAACCTTATTTCTACAAATAAGGTCAGAGCAACATTATATAAACTAAAACCTAAAAAATAGGGAAAACATGAAGGGTGCGGTTTATATAGAGTTGAGGCTCTAAACAATCAAACTAGAGCATACCTTCAACTAATATCAAGAAGAGTGATTTCAATACTAAAGATCTTTGTGAGAGCCTTAAAATATATTTTTATTTCTAATTATAAAATTTAGTGCTTCGAAAATAATATAGATCAAGCAGATCTATAAAAACTTGAAAATCTTGAAAATTGACGGTCCAAAAATACATTACAATATGCACTATTTCCGAGATTTGAAATCCATTTTTTCTCATGTCCATCCATCTTGATGTCGAGATGATCATATTTGAGCATCAAAACAACCTATTACAGTGAAATTTTTGATGTGCGCTCTAATTTGATTGTTTACCCCCTAAGCTCTATATAAACTTTTTCCAAACATAAAAATTGAGTAAAAATAAAGAAAGCGAACATTAGAACGAAAGTTAGAAGTATTTAAACATTATATTACTACACAAATGTTGCATGAAAATTTGACAAAACAATGTATATGATGATTTTTATCAAATATAATGGCATTTACTTAAAGGGTGCTGTTTGTATAAAGCCTAGGGTCTAAACAATATTAGAGCCTACCTTCAAATAGTGTCAAGAAATATGGTTTTAATATTGGAAATCTTTGTGATAGCCTTAAGATATATTTTTATATTTATTTATAAAGTTTAAAGCTTAAAAAATAATATAGGCATATATATAAAAATTTGAAAATATTAAAAATTGATGGTCTAAAATTGTGTTACAAAATACATTATTTCCAAAACTTAAATCTATTTTTTTTCTCATGTCTATAGATCTTGATGTCAAGATGGTCAATTGGAATATATTTGAGCATCAAAACAAACTCTTCTAGTAAATTTTTTGAAATAAGTTCAAATTTAATTGTTTAGAGCCTCGACTCTATAAAAACTTTTCCCTTAAAATATTCTAAAACACCTATGTGGTTCCTATTTTTGAGGCGTCAATTTATCGATTTAAAATTAGACGCGAATACCCAGATAGTTGGAGCCTTTTAACAATACCCCTTTTACGCCGAAAAGAAAGGGGCTGCTTTTACCTATGTGGAGCAGTTTAACCCGCAATCATAAAGGAATGAAGTTTGTACCAGGAATAGGCTATATGAAAAACAAAATAAAAACTCACCTCAAATTTTTTCTTTTTCTTTTTTTGTCTCAAAAGCACTTCCGAGAACATAAATTTTAATGATGGCTCTAAAATTAATTTTCAGTACCACTGATAAAAATTGAAACTAAAACAACAGTACAAGCCTTGCGGATTTATGAACACTTACATTTAGGGAGAAATGAACGGCCTAAATAATTTGTTGCAATATACACCATTTCTAGAGCTTTAAATCCTAATTGTTTTTTACAAATATAATGTTCAAGCTTTGATGATCTATATAATTTTTTTTCAAACCATTTTCCTATACATTTTATAACAGTTTGGTCCCGACAAGAATATAATTACATTAACCTAATGACCATTTTTATTTGGAAAAAAATTCGTATAGAACCCTAATTCCTCATCTTATTTCATGGTAGACTCTCTTTCCATTTTTCTTTCAAACGGTATAAAAAAATCTCTAAGAATTTCATCGTACTCCCTCATCTCTTATTTCTTTCATTTATTCACTTTTGACCATAAAAATTAGCCTCAACAAATATTTTTATACCATTTCAACTTAATATGAGAGAGAGATAGGGAGCCCTCAACGTGACTTTGAGAGGCTGAAAAAATAAACAAAATTTAATAAAAGAATATTTTTGAAACGTTTTTTGGTTAAAATATATAATCAGGTTGGTTAAAAAAGTTTTTGGGTTAAAAAACGTTTTGAAATGTTTTTGGGTTGAAATGGTATAAAAATGTTTTTTGGGTTAATTTTTATGATCAAAAGTGAATAAATGATGGAAATAAGATATGATGGTACGGTGATATCCTTAGAGATTTTTTCATGCCGCTTAGAAAAAAATATAGAAAGAAGGTCTAAAATGAAATAAGATGAAAATTTCGAGTTTTGTTCGAAATTTTTCCTTTTCATTTTAGAACATATTTTTTAAATTTCAAACTTTTGAGATTCATCTTAAGATCACGATATGATTATTTTTCAAAATAACAAAAATGAATTTTGGGCTTTTAAACAAATTTTGACATTAATTTCTTAGGAGCCAACATAATTTGATAAAAAATTATTTTTTTACGATTAATAGCTAGGCTTAAAAGGTTGCATACATTTTAGAGTTCTAAACAGTGTGACTATTTGGGTGAGTGGACTCGCCTGAGTTCTGTTCTACTACTCGGGTCAATGAACTGGCCCCCAATAACTTGGGCTGTTGAGCCCAATAGTCTACAAGTTGAGTGTCCAACTCGGAGGTCTTAAAAAAGGTTCAAATTTTTTTTAAAAAATAATATTTCTATTTAAAACATGCTTATTTATGTGTTCTATCATTTTGACATAGATTAGAAAGTATTTCAAGAACAATTGTTTTTACATTCTTTCATCATTTTTAGATTATTTAAAATTATCTTCAGTCACAAACTAATTTTTCAAAATCTATTTTTCTTACTACTTTTTCAACCTCATTTAGATACGTTTTGTTTAATTTTATTTTAAATATATATTTTTGAAAATTTTCTACATTTTTAATTTTGAGCACTTTTTTTTGCTACAGTACTCAACCTAACTCAGCATGAAAATGGGCAGAGTATGCAGCCTGAGTCGTTGATTCGAACACTGGTTCTAAAAATCTTGATTTCACGAGAGGAGAAGAAAAACAAAATATTATCATCATTATTATCATTATAGTCTTTTTTTCTCAATTAATTGGAATCTTCTATACAAATTCTGATTCTTCATTATGCTATTTAAGTACGACAGACCATGAGCTTCCAGTATTGAACAGCAAAATATCGCTAAAGAAAAAAACTATTTTATACCATTTACATTCACCCATACGCTCCATGCCTCTCTCCGCCATAAACAACAACAGTAGGACAAGCTGGTCCCCACTTCCCAGCCATCCACGTATCCCAAAAAATCATCATACGAACCTAGAGAGAGAGAATACGACCTAGAGAGAGAATGGGCAGAGGGTGGAAATAACATAAAAACTGGAGGGCAAAAGGGGGCAAGAAAGACAACAAAGAAATGAGAAATGTCTTGTTAACGAACTCATTTAATACAAAAAAGAAACTCATTTAATACAGAAAACCCAACAACGATATATCTCACACACCCCAATCGTGTGACTCTGTCTGGTTAAAAAACGCGGCCGGAATCTGCAACTCCCTCTCTCTCTCTCTCTCTGCCAAAACCCAGAGTTTCACTACACTTTCTCTCTCTACCGAAACCCGTTTTTCATTATTCTCTCTCTAGAAAACACACACCCTTTCTCTCTCTAAAGCAGAAGCCAGAATTTTGCTCCCAGAGTTTTCACTACTCTCTCTCTCTAAAGCAGAAGCCAGAAGAACATAGATTTCATTACTCTCTCTCTCTAGAAACACCCACACTAGGAAGCCATGTGGGAGTGTTCTTAGAGGCATGGCGCTTTCTGCTACACCAACCCCAATTATTCATTCCGTCCCCTTTTCTCCATAAATTCTCCTTTGCGGTCCATGGAGGCGTATGTTTGGCGGTTCCCCGAACAGCTCTAGCGAGTTTTGCCTCCAAATTTGGCGGCTGCTCCTCTATTTTGCATTTTGTTGCTTCAAATCAAGAGGTAAACTCGTTTAGGCTTCTCCTCCTTCTACTACTCGGTTAAATTCGGTGCCATTTCTGAGTAGAAGAAGCGAGTTGATTTGAAGTTTTTGAATTTACTTTTCTTCGATTCTTCGTTTAACTCGATTTTAGTGACTTATGCTTAGCTCTTGAGTGCTGGAATTTGTTTTCATATCCTGTAAATACTTTAGTGCCCTTGATCATTCAAGTTTTATATGGGATCACTATATATAAAAAATTCAAATTAGTCCTTAAAGAGTTTCTCTTCAGAAATCGTCGGAAAAGCTTGATAATTTGAGTTTGATCAGGGAATCATCTACAATGACGAGAGAGCTATGGAGGGTTTGATTAAGAAAAGGAGAAATTTGTATGGAGAATGTGTACTCTTCAACTGAAACGGTTGTCTACTTCATTTAGGACTGAGAGTCCACTTCCTTCCCTGTATTCATTTCAAAATTGTTTGCTCTAGGTTTACTGATCTACGGTTAGTAGTATGTGAAATAATGGGAACTTGTTTTCCTTAATTTTTATTATTGTTGAATTTGGTGGATTAATAAGAACTAGAGGCAGTTTTTAACAGAGATCATTCCCAAAGGAGAGCTTTTTAATTTTATATCACAATTGACCTATAACTAGAAGAATCTCATGTTCATAATTTAGCAAATATTTAAGTGCTTTTTAATTTTAAATCACAATTGTTCTATAACCAGAAGAACTCACGTCCATAATTTAGCAAGTATTTAAGTGCTTCGTTACTTTTTTAATCATTTTTTGTTCGTCTTATTTAAGGGGTTTCAAACTTAGTGCTTCATTCTCTATTTGCAGAATATATTTGGGATCTTTTGAGTCCTATTATTCGTTTCTTTTATGCTTCACCATGGTTTTTACTTGGGCTTTCCTATGGTTTCAACTAACTTTGTATAGGGTGATTAATTGTTGCAAGTATACAACAAGTATCTACATTTTCTGCAGGTTCATTTTCTAGTTGAATTGAATTCGATTTTGTAAGTGTTGGCTTGCTTTTCAAGAGGCTTTGCAGGATTTCATGCCATTTGATTCCTTACTTTGCTTTGTCCTTTCAGTTATAGCATTATAAATTTCTACTCGGCAGTCAGTCCTGTTTTTTTATGGGTAGTTCAGCGGTAGGAATCGAACTTGATATATAGCGTTGCCACATGTCAGCTGCTAACTACTCAAGCCCAAGCCCGATTCCCAGCGATCGTCTTTTACTTTCTGGAATGCCTAAACTATGAAAATTAGGTCAAATTTAGTCAGAAGGCCTTCAATATTTTGCATCTTGGCATTAACTTGCTATCAACCCTGAAGAACAGCAGGCCTTGCCAAGCTCTCTCTAGCACTTTGATTAATCACGGAAGGATACAATCAATAGTATCAAATCAGCTGCAATGTCAGTTTGTTAAAAACTCGGATCTTAAATTCGCAAATATGATGAACCTTGATTTAAATTCGACTTGAAAAAACTTGAATAGCCAGCTTTTCAGAACATCTTATTAGCGTAAAGAGCGCAAAACCTCAGGAAAACTAAGAGAAGATGCTCTGCATGATTTAACTATGCTCAGCATGTCAATTCACAAACTGCTTGTGTTTTCATAAGTTTCCTTTTGTCAACAAATTGGAATGTTCAAACAAATGAAAGATTTTTCTTTATTTTCCTAGTTAATTAAACTCCCTGTACAATTGAACAGGTGGATGATCTGTTGTTCTCTTGTGTGAACTCACTGCAAATATTCAAAACAAAGAAAGAACTCATAACATGGACTCATCAGATGATCATCATGCCCCTAAGAAAGGTGTGAAATACCCTTACGAAGGCCCCGGGGCAATTCCCCCATTACCCCGTGACGCTCGAGGCTCTCTTGAAGTGTTCAACCCCTCAACCTTCTCCACTCAGCCTTCCTCAAAGGCCACACCCAAATGGTCAATTCCCTTCAGTTCTTGGCAAAACAAAGCTCCTGAGAACAATGATATGTTTGATCTCAATCCGGAAAAGCTGACAAAGAACAACACATTTGATTCAAAAGAACACGAAAAGCCTGAAGTGGAAGATGTCGGGTCATGCATGACCACTAAGGAGACCACTAAACCTGCCACCAGTACTGGATCTTTCATGAACAAGAAAGAATTTTACACTAAGGTAGGAGGAGAGGGTGTAGGTGGGGGCATGAGTGGAACTCAAGCAAAAGACGAGATCAGGGGCACAAATGGAAATCATGGTAAAGACGGAGGTGAAGCTGGAATGGCGAAACGAGCAGCAGAGTGGGGTTTGGTTCTGAAGACTGATGAAGAAACAGGGAGGCCTCAGGGCGTCGCGGTGAAGAAGTCGGGAGAGGCTGGGCCCTCGCAGAGGAATTCGGGGAACTCGATGAGGACTTCGGAGGAGTCCGATGGAGGTGTAGAGAGAGGTGGGATCCCCAGAGTTTCCAAGGATCTGAAGGATGCATTATCCACATTTCAACAAACGTTTGTGGTGTCCGATGCGACGAAGCCAGATTATCCTATCATGTATGCAAGCGCCGGATTCTTCAAGATGACGGGCTACCTGGCCAAGGAGGTCATAGGGAGGAACTGGTAAGCATTCCATTGGATTTGCCCCCTCTCTCTCTCTCTCTCGTCCTTAGCTTAGCCACTTCCGTCTCGTCCTTAGCTTAGCCAGTTCCGTCTGGTCATAGGCACCAAATGCATTTTCCACTGTAAATGGATAGTGCAAGTGGCACAATGCAGGTGTATACGCACCCTAACACCCAGATACAATGTTGTAATTTCCAATCCTACTGATACCGTCCATTGCTATCTAATTCTCTAATTTATTTAAAAAAATAAAGAAGGGATTGTCTTCCCACTAAATTACCAAAAAAATAAAAAATCATCGCCTACCCAATACGAAATAACCATCACCTTTGTATCCTAACATTGTAGCATTTGCACCAAGGAAATGCGCTTTATGTCATAAACTTTCTAAAATATTATTAAAAAGGAAAAGTTAAAATAAGACCTAGACTTCATGAAAAAATATAAGGCTGCGACTCAAATCTCATCAAACTTGCAGTTTCGGAGTAAAATACCTTCAGATCCATCGTCTCTCAATGGATATGAAAAAGAATTATGATTTGAAGCCCTAAAAAATGTATCTATTTATAGATCTCTAAGATATGTACCTTTTTTGGGGTATAAATTTTGTAAAGTGATTTACATATGGACCTTAAAATTTTTTTTAAAATACGAAATACTTTTTTTATAGGCAGAAATTACAAAAAATGTCGATCAACCTATTTTTTTTATTTTTTATTTTTTATTTTTTTTATTTTTCAAAATTGCTTATGGGTCTTAAGATGGAATCCCTGATCCGAACCGTTTTTTTAAAAAAAGTTTTTTGTTATTAGGGCAGTTCCCCAAGTTTTACGCTACTAACAAACAAAACTAAAAACGAAAATTAAAATTCTCTCCAAGGATGTCTTAGGGGTAATTTTGAAAACAAAAAAAGTAGTTAGGTTGACTTATCTTTTTTTGGTAATTTCCACATATAAATAGATCATTTCATATTTTGAAAAATATTTTTGAGTCCGTACACTCTATTTCATAACCAATAAAGATCCTTTTGGAAATATTTTAGGTCCGTACATAAATCACTCGATTCCATAACCAATAGTAGAAATAAATTTTTGAGTCCCGGTAGGGTTTTCATGTGCCGAATGAAGTTTGATGTGAGGCTTCACTTTTTTTCTAAAACCTAACCGCGTCCTTGTTAACATGATTAAAAACATGTGGAATGAGCCATTTCACCTCACTTTTAAAAATCATTTTATTTAAGTACTCCTCAGGAATTTTATAGAAGTACCTTGTTTTGAGTTTGTAACTATGAGCAAGCGAGTTTATTTTGGTAAAAAATACCTCGAGTAATTTTTCAAAAAAAATACTTCAATTTATATTTTTACTAAAAAATTACCTGAGAAGTACCTCAATTTATTTTTGTTACCAAGAAATACCTCAATTTTTTTTCTATACCTCATTTTATTTTTTATTACCAAAACGTATGCCACTTTATTATTCATACAGAAAATACCTCAGTTTCTTTTAATTACTAAAAAATACATCAATTTATTTATTTTACCAAATGCCTCAAATTATTGTTTCTTACCTTATTTTACTTTTTATTACCAAAAAGTGCCTCAATTTATTTTTTACCCAAAAATGCCTCAAATTATTTTTTCTTACCTCATTTTACTTTGTATTAACAAAAAGTACCTCCATTTATTTTTTTTACCAAAAAATACCTCAAATTATTATTTTTGCCTCATTTATTTTTTATTACCAAAAAGTACCTCAATTTATTTTTTTTACCAAAAAAAAGATGTACCTTACTTTTAAAAATCATTTTATTTGAGTATTCCTCATGCATTTTATAAAAGTGCCCAAATTGTGCTTGTTTTGAATTTGTAACTATGAACAAGCGAGTTTATTTTGGCAATTTGACTTATTAAAGCTACTTGAGTCAACGTATTATATGAGTTCGAAACCTAGAACACGCTTTTTCAATTAAAATTCTTTCTCTAAATTTGAAACCTAGAAAAAATGGGGAATAGTTAGGTGCATTTTGGTGATTTGGCTCCACTTAAGTTACCCAAGCCAAAAACAAAAAAAAATGTAAATTCCGAGTTCTATACCCTTTAACAAAATTCTAATAAAATATACAAATTGTGCTTTCGTATTAGGCCAAAATGGCCCTTATTTGTTAAGGGTAAAAACTTAGGATTTGTTTAGTGTTGCTCTTTAAATTATTTATGCTATATATTTATGTTTTAAAATCTAATCCAACTTGTTTAATATGACTATTTAAGGTATGTTTGGATCTATTGATCATCACTGAGAATTTCTTATTTCAATAAAGTCAATCATGATAATGAACTCTATGTTTTATATAATTATTTGAGATAATCTTATATGTAGTTTTAGATATTTATGGTTTGGAAAAGCTATTTTTAGTTTATTGAAATTAATTTGCTGAAAATCATTTATTTTTTAGTGAAAAATGACTAAAAATAGGTAAGAATACCAAAAAAGATGTATAATTAAATGATATTATATATAAAACACTATATATACCAAATAATTAATAAAATAATATCATTTGAAGTATATAATTTTAGATGAGATAGTGAGACAAAATTAATTATCATCGAACATGCCCTTATTCTTTAAAATTTAATCACATTTTTTAACTTATACTATATTTGATTGGCGGTCAAACTGATTTTGTCTAAAACAAACGTCTCTTTGGTCGTGGTTGCATGGCGAGTTATATTGTTACATAACACTGCGACATGTAAGAAATTCCCACGGTAACCATTTTCTAAGGGGAGTTATTAGTGTCGGAATGATTAACCGGACATTGGTCTAGAAGCGGTTCAATCAACCTAATTAATAAACCTGCCGGTTCAATCATTGGTGGTAAAAAAAGTATTAAAAAATTACAAAAAAAAAAACTAATAAAATATGAAATGTAAGTTGAAAATTAATGAAAAAATGAATTTTATAAAATTTATTTGTGCTCAGAGGAATTTTTGAAATTTTTTAAAAAATAAAAAATATAAAAATAAATATTAATGGCCAAAACAGTTTCCAAGTTTTTCCATAATGATGGAAATCATTATAAAATACATTACAAACAAAATCTCTTATTTTTTGGAATTTTTTATAATTTTTAATTTTTTTTTTAAAATACATGGTCAGTCACCAAAACCGGAACCGTCTAGTGACCGGTTCCGATCTCGATCGGTTACTGGTTAGCACGGACGATTTTTCCAACAACGGTTACTAAGCATGACCTAGGAGTAGACACCGCAACCCGTCCTAAGAATTTTGTACCACTAACTGTTTGAAAATTCTAAGAAGCCCATTAAAAGCATGGAATTATTCAACAATGAACGGAGATCCTATTTTTAAAGAAGAAACCATGCTTATGTTTTAAGGGTGTTCTATTAGGAGTATGTTTCAAGATATTAGTGGGGTGGTGTAAGTGGAGGGATTGGAAAATTAAAAAGGTAATTCAATGGGGATTTGGGCCCTGCCTTTTTGGTGACAATGAAAAAGTGGTAGTAAGTAACTGGGGATTTGGGCCCTTATCTTTTAGTAAGAATGGAGTTAGAAACCTCATGATGGAGTTCGGCGATACTACCGTTAAGGTCCTAAGCCATTTTCAATTGGGTCCAAGTTTTCAAAAGCTAGAGTCATAGGAGCTAATGTAGACCACTTTTTACTGTGTTCGTAAGTCCTAACAAAGCTAGCATTGGACCCAATCCCGGCTCTTGTCTTTATAGAGCCGGCTTGAGCCCAGCGCTAACCAGGCCGAAAGAGGCCCTAGCTCATGTTCGACCCTAGCCCTATTCGGGCCTGACCTAGCTGCATACAATCCAATACATAAAAAAAGAAGAAGAAAAGAAAGGCCACGACGGGCTGGACCTATTGTGGCTGTGGCCCTGGGTTGGCCCGGCCCTACCGTTGTGCGGTGATGGCCTGGCTATGGCCCAATCTTTAGGCCACATATTGATCGACGCCCTAGTTTTTTATGGCCTGCCAGGCCTACTCCTAAATGATTAGGAGGAAAAAAAAACGTCCTTATTACCAAAATAGATTTCATATAAATAATGTGATTATTAGTATGATATTAATCAAATATTTTTTCTTTCTTTTTTTCCCAGCCGCTTCCTTCAAGGAGCCGGAACGGATGGTGCTGAAATTTCAAAGATCAGAGAGGCATTGCAAGCAGGGACCGGCTACTGCGGAAGATTGCTGAATTACAAGAAGGATGGCACACCCTTTTGGAACCTCCTTACCATCTCTCCTATCAAAGATGAGAGCGGAAAAGTCCTCAAGTTTATTGGGTAACTCCTTTATTTCATTTATTTATCTTTTCAGATGCACGGCCTCTTTAACTAAGACCCTATTTGCACGATGCACAGTGCACAAAACTGAGTACTAAGTGCAATTTATGTAGTACTCCGTGTGCATGTGTTGTGGGGAATATAGTGCACATTATATGGGTGCGTGGGTGCACAATGCTTGTCGGCCACTTTTCAAAACAAAAGATTCATATAATTAACATGCCCATTTGCCTCACTTTTTAATGCAAAAGGTTCATAAAATTTAGATGCCAATTGCATCACATTTTAGCACAAAAAGTTTATTTAGGACTTGGTGACAATTGGGGTGATTAATATGAACTAATGTTCCCTCTCCCATGCATATTTTGCAACTTCCCTGATGGAGGGATAGGTAAAAAAAGACTATCAACACCCTCACCTTTGTGTGCAGTTACAGATTTCGATCATGGTTGAAACAAGAATAGATGTGAACATTTCTTTTCCATACTTGAATTCGGAATTCGGTTGCATTTTCGTTAACAGCTGGCCTCATTCAAGTTGTGCTGAAAATTTTGCCAAAAATTTCCTCGATTTCGTTTATAGTTTCCATGATTAAACTGGTTGGCCATCGATTACGATGCTTTCTCAACCATGGGCATACATTGAACTCTACTGGTTTCTGTTAGGCATCTGAATTGTACTTCTAAAACATAAATTCGGGCGTGACCTGGCCTTATTTTCAGTAAAAAGTGTCGGTTCTTGAGATGCTTGCTTTTCTGTTAGCCCTGTTTCCATTTTTCAGTCATTTAAGTGCTTGGGATGTTAGCTTCCCAGTTTCTAGTGAACAATCAGACTTCAGTTCTTGTGATGTTATGAAGATTTTAAAGCATATTGTTTTGGTCACTAATATGGTTTAAATGTGATTTTCTACTTCATTTCCTTGATTTTGTTTAGAGATTTGTTCAGTTTCTGTACATACTCCGTTTGGATTCTTGCTTCTTTTTTATTAAAGCAAGGGAATTCGAATGGAGTACACCTTCCTATGGTATGATCCACGTGGTTCAGAGTAACAGCATAACCGTGAGGTTTTCACCGTCCTATGAATGGCTTGCATGGTGATGGAGGGGGTTGGGTTAAACTGAACATGACCTCAACTGAATTGTAGGTCACCACTTCTTCCATCACCATCCATCCAATTGAACAGATGGTGATAAACCAGACATCAGTGTTGTTATGATCATATGGATTATACTATATTTTTCTCCTCTAGGGATACTGCCTATTGTTTTGAGAAATTCTTGCATAAAAAGGACTAAATTTGCATTAACCTCCCCTTGAATCTCTTCTCAAATTACTCTTTATCTTTTATGGCATGCAGGATGCAAGTGGAGGTTAGCAAGCACACAGAAGGGGCAAAGGATAAGACGGTTCGCCCTAATGGATTACCAGAGTCCTTGATTCGATATGATGGTAAATAACCTAAATAGCTCAAAATATACATTTTAGTATGGTTTTTGCCAAAAGATATTATGCTCTCGCTGGAGTATGCTATCTATTTACTCCCTCTGTAAAACCTCCTCTAGGGTTAATTCTAGGACCCCAAATTCTGAGAATGTCAATCTCTTCAACCCATAGATTAATTAATTTAAGTAAAAAAATTGTGTATTTCACCCACTATACACTTCAAAAAATAATGTCTCAAGATTTATCTATCCTATTTTTAGTGGGTGTGAACTATTTTTTCTTTTTGAGAATAACTATCTAGTGAAATTTACATGGTTCCCAAAATTTAGTGTTGCAGTCCTCACGTCTACGAGTATAAGTAGGTTGAGCCAGGCTGCATTAGAGGCCTGTTCCCGTATGACCTGGATTCGAGGCCCATCATGTGGCTTGTTGGATTAGGCCTGGATTTGATGGGTCAGGCCTTAATATAAGGCCCAATAGGTTCTGTTATGCGACTTTTCATTGATCTAATGATCTGGCACGAATATGTTGGGTGGACGTTCTACTCCATTGATCCAGGTTTTGAAATACTGGCAAAACCTCTGATCGTTTGTAACTTTGGGTTTGGAATTCTCATAATATACAAACTTCTATGCCACGATCTCTTATGTTTAAAGGAAAACAATCGGTCAACTAGGACCATTTTTAATACGGAAAAATATACGATGAGGCCATTCACCTTTCGGATAAGCTGGTCATAGTTCATTGACTGTTGGATGTGAAAAGGTGTAGTTGCATTTATTCTATCGACAAAGCTCAATGCTCAAAAGAATTTTTCTTGAATTTTGTGACACACTTAAGTTATCAGATTTCACATCGGATTATTATAAGTAATTGTAACCTCCTTGCACCAAAAGTGAGTAGTCTCATTGTATACAATCCCTGTTAATATTTGATGTTAAGAACAAGTCAAGGCGTGTTTGTATGGACCATAATTCTATTACTTTCGTATCATCCTTGTGTACAACTTATATGGTAAATGGAAATAATGGGAGTGAAATAAAATCCGTGCTATTCGATAGTGCTAACATGGATACTCCTAGAGCCTGTTTGGATGATATTTAAATTTATTTTGATATCTAAAATCAATATACTCTGAATAATGTTATTTTGTTAGTTGTTTGGAATATATCTTTAATTGTGTGTAATTTTAAATAAATATTCAAATTTTCAGTGATTTCCAACTTTTTTTAGGTATTTTTGGCCAAAACTATATAATATTCAGCAAATTACTTCAAATGAAGTAAAACCAAATTTTCAAAAAAGATAAACTTAGTATTTATGAGTGTAGATACACAGGCACGTCCAACATAAAAGCTGGGAGTCGACTTTGTATGTACCAAACTTTTTCAAACTAAAATTGATCAAATCATGTACTTTGCTCTCACATATGATCTGCTTTGTGATTTCTCTTCAAAGCTTAGTTCACGTTTCATGTGTTATGTCGTTTGCTTCATTGTGCAGCTCGACAAAAAGAAATGGCAGTGAGCTCGGTGTCAGAGCTCGTTCTGGCGGTGAAGCAACCCCGTGCACTGTCTGAGTCCACAAATCGGCCTCCTTTCATGCGAAGATCTGAAGGCGGTGGAGAGCAGGTTCGATCTGACCCAACTTTGGGAAGGAGGAACTCGGAGAACATAGCTCCACCAAGAAGGAATTCATATGCTGGTATAACAACCTCGATTCCAAAGATAAGTGAGATGCCCCAAGGGCCCAAGAAGCCCCGCAAGTCCGGATTGCGATCCTTCATGGGGTGGGTGGCCCTATTTTTATAAACTATCATACATTTCCATGTGAAAACGAAGTCGAGAATAATACATTTCTTTTGATAAATTACAATGTAAGCAGTCGGGATTTTCTTGCTTTCAGGCTTATCGGAAAAGGCCACTCACATGTGGATAATGGAGAAGCTGATGTTGTTGCTGAGACTGAGGAAATGATGGATAGTGATGATGAAAGATCGGATAGCTTAGATGATAAAGTAAGGCAAAAGGAGATGAGAAAGGGTATAGATCTTGCTACAACACTTGAACGTATCGAGAAGAACTTTGTGATCACTGATCCAAGATTACCAGACAACCCCATTGTAAGATTTCAAGCTCATGAAGCTCATTACAAATTGTTGCAGAAAAGTAAGTTTGGTTTAGGTCTCTTTATTGTTGGCCTCAACTAGCTTGAATTACTTGATCACAATTATTACTAATTTAATAAAATAATATAGGAAATACGACAAGATGCTTTTTCCAAAGAAATGACATTAGTATGACAAGATTTTCTTGCTTTTCTTTTTTTTTTTCTTTTTTCTTTTTTTTTAAATTAAAATGGTTATTTTGTTGTTGAAATTACAGTTTGGTGATAAACTGTGAGATAACCTTTATTAAAGTTTGAGCTTTAGATATACTTAAAATTGATGAGCTTTAGATTTTATTACTATTTTTATTTTTGGTATTATTACGCAACTCCCTTTTACATTATTTCTTTAACTTACTTAACATCAAAATTAATTGGAGAGTAAATAATTGTGCCTTTTAATACAACAAATGTGTCGCACCCCATGCATCTAATTTGACATTTAATCGCAAGTAGCAATTGCGACCACTTTGAAACAAAGATAAATAGTCTCGTAGTGTAAAATCCCATATATAATTTCACATCTAATGGCTAGGATTGATCGTAACCTCCTTACATAAAAAATAAATAGTCTATCCCAATATTTTATTTTTAACGAATTTTTGTTTTTTATTATAAGTTTTAGGACTTCTCGGCCTTGTACATTACTCGGGTGAGTCCACTTGACTCGCCCATGAAACTCGGCTTGAGTCAGGGCCAACTAATAGGCGGGAGCCCAGTTACTGGTTTAAAGAGACTTCTCCGTTATGATGCCTAGTAACTAAAGGGCAAACTTTCTATGTTTCCCCTACAACATAAAACTTATATGCTTCCCTTTATCCAGCAGTCCATTTTGAATGGAGGGTTAGGATTGTCCCAATCAAAATGTCACGTCTCTATACTATTTTATTTTTAATTGTTTTTTTATAAACTATTTTAACATCAATTTTTATACGTCCAATCCTCTATTAAACTCGCACTAGCGGAAAAAAAAATGTCAATAATATAAAATGACTAAAATACTCCTTAAAGTTTCAAAGGATATTTTGATCATTTTATTTTATCGAAAAATTATTTTTAATATTTTTTTATAGGTGCACTCCAATGAGAAAATATCGCATACCAAATTTTCTATTCAAACAATTTGTATAAAAAAAAACTAAAAATAAAATACTTTGAAATGTCGGATCTAAGATCAAACATTGAATGACTCTCTTGATCAAAATTGTACAGCTGGATGATAGGAGAAGCATAAATCTTCTATGTTAAAAACGTTTGCCGTAACTAAATATTCTTATTTAACCTTTCCCGTAACTAAATATGCTTATTTGTGTAAAATGTTTTCAGATATTCGCTTCTGATAGCTTCTTGGAGCTAACAGAGTATAGCCGAGAAGAGATACTGGGAAGAAACTGTAGGTGAGTTTCCGAAATATTTTATATATCTTTTTGTTTATTTTTCGTATTGAAGATGATGATTTATGCTTCTTCCATTATTCGATTCATACTCACCACCAGAAGAAAGGAAAAAAAAAAAAATCTTAACCGAAGTAAATCGCTTTTTCCATATATTTATTACTTGATATAGAACCATGAAAGTAAGCTCAAGGTAGGACTGCCGTAATAAAAAAAATTACCACAAGGTTCATCACCGTCCAATACGGTGATGGAGGGATAGTGGTTCCCCAAAGATGTTATTCATTCGATTGCACGACCCACTCTTCCTTCATCACCGTCCGACTTTAGAGTGATGACCCTTATCCGACCTTTACAAAAGTGTAACATAGGTTTCTCTTTCTAGCCCTTCTCCCTCTCTCTAGCGCGTACTCTGTCTCTGAGAGAGAGAGTGTGTGTTAAGCTTTTTGAATATGGAGGAGTTAAAGAGAGAGAGAGGGTTAAGCGTTTTGGAAATATGGAGTTAATTGCTTTGATACAACAATCTCACAAAAACTCCTCTGGTTTAGCTTCCTTGCTATACACTGAAAAACAAAAGCTAGTAGAAATTGCATTGTACGATGGTGTAACAAGGCATATAGAAACAACCATGAAGCATTCTCATTCTAGAAATGGTAGGAAACTGAAGGAACAGATAGGAAACTTTGGAGATACACAAAATAAAATATCATGGGAAAATTGATTTGAGAAGATCACAAGAATGCTTAATGTTGAACATGTAAAGCCATAGGTATTTTTACATTATATTAAGAATTGGGGATTGCTGTTGAAACTTTCATGTTTCTATTCGGACTAAATCGTCTCGATATTCTGACTTTTTGAATATATATTTTCTATTACAAAATTGGACTTTTGTCATTGATCTATGCTGTTTATTAATAAATTTTTAAAATGATTGTTCGTTACATTCCTACTATTTGGTGTTGGTGGTGTTTGCCTCTCCTAAGATTTGCACAAAAATGTTGTCATTTACAACAGGTTTCTTCAAGGCCCTGAAACTGATCCTGTTACTGTGAGAAAAATAAGAGAAGCTATTGATAATCAAACGGATGTTACCGTGCAATTGATAAACTACACGAAAACAGGTGTGCTCACCTAGTATAACTTTTGTTAAGTTACCTTGAAGAAGCATCTAAGTTGATCTAATGTTTCTTTCTGCAAACCTCCTCTTTTGGGTTTCAATGTTTGTTATGAATTCTAAATATTTGCTCTTGTAAAATTTGTTGCCCTTTGGCTTTTGGAATCGTTTTCTCAAAAGTCACAATAAAGGTCATCTTCCCAGCCAGTTATTTATCAGAATATGTATTCAGGTGAAGAAGGGGACATTTGCACTCTAGTTGGTAGATTTGTTATGCATATATTAATAAACCATTATGTATCTATAAACCATTATATATCTATATATATAGTGCTTGTAGTGCTTATCTAGCTATCTATTAGCATTCCTTTTATCATACGACTGGTTTATTCTTTAGCAGCAGAAATGAGATTACTTAAAATTTCATGCCATCCATAGTTACTCTTTATTCTCTTCTAAAACAAAACGAATTGTTCAAAATGGTGTAGGGAAGAAGTTCTGGAATCTTTTCCACTTGCAACCCATGCGTGACCAAAAGGTGCATCAAATTATTTGTCCTCAATCCTTTTGTTTGTCTTGCTAGTTGAAGCATGTATCCTTTTTATTAATTTGAATTATGTGTGTTAGGCAACTAAGTCTGAAAAAGAAAAAAAGAATCCTAAACGATTACTTCCAACAGGGTGAAGTCCAATACTTCATTGGGGTACAACTGGATGGTAGTGAGCATGTCGAGCCACTTCATAATTGCATTCCAGATAGAAAAGCTAATGAGAGTGCAAAGCTGGTATGACTCCACCTTGGTTCTTTGTCCTGTTGTGCTATGTGCTAATGCTTATTTTATGATGTTACTAGTGTCGTTCCTAAAGTCTCCCCAATATTCACTGGTTTTGTTTAAAAAGAAAAAAAGTAAAGAAATTTATCCTGGCTTTAGAACTCTTTTGAAAATTAAAATTATCATGATGCAATACTTGTTGCTGTCACTTGGGGAAGATGTGATGATCAAGTATGATTAGCTGAAAACTAGTAAAATATCTTGGACAGGGCTATTTCTTGCAATTCATGTATGTGGTTTTCCTTAACATAGCTCTCTCCTAGTGTTTCAATGTGTGACGCTAGTGACCAAGTTCACCTCCAATGAAATGCATTCACGCTGCTAACTTTAATGTTCAGGTGAAAGAGACTGCTGAAAATGTCGATGAGGCTGTGCGGGAGCTTCCAGATGCTAACTTGGTAATGGCTCATTTAGTCAGTCATACTTTTTTTAACAAGGAGATTTAATCTGTCATACTTACTTTTAAATTTTGGATTTATATCACTGGTGACTTATATTGAAGCTCTACAGAAACCTGAAGACCTCTGGATCACCCACTCAAAGCTGGTCCTCCCTAAGCCTCACAGAAAGGACAATCCATCTTGGCGAGCAATCCAGAAGGTAGATCCTTTCATGTTATAGTTTTTATTGGTTTTTCTTAAGCCTACAGGTGGAGTTAGTCCTTAAAGGAGACTTGAGGGTCATGGACATTGCCAATTTGCCATTTTTTTTATCACTCTCATGTTAACTACTAATGCTTATTTTACTGGCACAAATCGGCAAGTTGCATTCAAAGATAATCTGAGTTCTTGTTTTGGCCTACTGTTGAGACCATGGCCTCAAGATCCAAGGCCTTCTCTTATGGACAACAGAAGAAATATTTGCATTTTTCAGCACACAAAGTTTGCTTTAGTACTACTTTGCTGCAGACATTGAAGGAAGACCATCCATAATCATGATAATTGAATTAAATCTCACAAATATCATTTGCATATGCAGCGTAAAGCAAGCTACTCATATAGATTTCTTTTGATTTTGTTAATATCATGAACTCTCTTTGCATGATTTTTTGTTGTTTGTCTTTAATCTGCAGCACAGAAATGTTGGTGTTTTCCTTTCTTGGGAAAGATACTTAATGTTGTACAATAACCATTGTTCTTAGTAGTGTGCCTACCTGGTAAAATGAGAGTTTGAGCGTCCCTTCATACAAAACATACTGTAGCCAAAAAAGAAAGAACTAATGCTCAACTGAAAACACTTTCATGTTTTCTTGCTGTGCACATAATATCTTTGGCATCATAAAATTATTCACAGTGACTTTTGTTCGTGGTGTTATTAGTGAGTGCAACAATCATGTTTGTCTTTTATCATTTCACTTGAAATATTTGTTGTTTTGTAATGTCATAGAAAAAGACGTGGTTAGCGTCCGGGCAGTCCGCACGGCAACTGCCCATCACCACCATCCAACACCAATCTCCAACAAGTTGGACGGTGGCAATGGGGAGTTACTATGTGGACTGCCGGCATATAAACTTCTTCCTATAGAAAAATTGTAATTGTATACTCTTTATTTTCTAAACTCAAACATAAATGAGATCTTTCAATGGGTTCCTTACCTGTATGTTATCATCAGATTTTGGACAGTGGTGAAGAAATAGGCCTGAAACATTTCCGACCTGTGAAACCATTAGGAACTGGTGACACTGGCAGGTTCGTAATTTGATTGTGCTTTCTTTGGCCAGATGTTATTCAGATGTTTTCTATTTTTCACATTATTGGTCTTGATTTGTGATATTTACTTTCATTCTAAAAAAGCGAAAATCACTTAGGCAAAATGTATTGCAATATTTCTTGGATATTGTTGTAATATAAATGATTAATGAACATTTTATTTAGGGTTAATACTCTTTCGAGTAGTAAGCTGGTGTAAAAAACATTCATAATTCCTACAGAATGGATGAACAATCCTTTACCCAGTTAGTTCCTGAAGAATGGACCATGGCTTTTCCATACACTCTTAGCATTCTAGCTGATGGGAATTTTCCATGTACGAACACACTTTCTTTCCATTCGATTTGTACTCAGGCACATGGCTTGCTGGTTTAAGGACAACGGAAGTCTTTGGAGTGAGCATATGAAGGAATGTACTCTCCAATCCTACGGTTCTATTTAGTATCATCTAGTGTTCATTCTCATTGTGGTTAAATTCTTTGGGGATATTAGATGTCATGTCATGTTCTTAGGTCAAAACAAATAGAAGTAGTGGTAGTAGAAGCAGCGGAAGAAGAAAACTGTTGTTTAGTAGGGTCAAGGAAATGGCATGAGTCATTGGAGTTCAAATGATTGTGATTTTCTTACCAAGCTTCAGCATTGGCTGGAATATTCTGGGTGCCTCTTTGAATGCCTGGGAGCATAGACAAAAACTTCGACCAGTAGTGGTCCCTGCTTTTAGGTCACACCTTAGGCTACTCAAAAACAAACCAACAAGGTTGCTGTTGTACATTGGGTTGGGGTCTCTATGGGTCCATTTCATAGAAAATGGGGGCATGAGTAGAAGCATGATAATAATTAGGGAGGTTGGATTCATATAATTTTGCCATTGTGCGTTAGGTTTTAGAAATGTGGAAGGGTAAATTCTGGTGTAGCTGGTAAGTATAATTGTGGAAAAGAGGTTCCAACTGATTGATAATGAGCGTTATTAGGAAATTTTGCATAATGCTTGTGGCAAATGGTGTTACTCTTAGCTAGTAGCTCCAGATGATTGGGACATTCCCTCTTGTTCTTAGGGAATATATTAGAATGGAGCTAGAAACATCAGGTTTGTCAGAGTTCACTTAAGATTGAGAATTACTGAACATACAGCAAACAAACACAAATAAAAACTTCTTGGGCATCTTTGATCGCGACATTGATGGCAGCAGCAAGTGACACTGCCAGTTGCCTATCTAGGTCTTAGAGTTTAGGGCAAGAGACAAACGGCCCTTTGTATGGATAGTTTTCAGGGTAAGTATGGTATGGAGATTGAGGGGTTCAGGAATTCTTTTAAAGTTGTGAAAGGCTTGGGGGTGCTATGGTGAGTATGGAGTTCAAGAAGTGAGTAGGTACTAGATTTGGTTTAAGGAAGAGCATTGAGGGCTAAGCATTTCAAAATTCTAGCAGTTGTAAAAGAGGGCCTCTGTAGTATACTGTTTTTAAGGAGATATTCTTGTGGAGGTGACGCTTCTGTGAATGCTAGGTTTTTCTTCTTCCATACGTTTAGATGGATGAATGAGGATATGGGAGATAAAAAGCTCATTGGAGTTGAGAGTGAAAGCCACACAAAGTGGTTGGAGCACAAAGCAATTTCTTTAGATTCTTCCTCATTGGTGGCAGCGAGGACAATTGATGTGAAATTAAGAGAGTAACTTATGTTATATTTGCTAGCTCGGGAGTCTAAATGTGATATTTTGGGTCGCATGTGCGAAGTTGATTCTTTAGGTTTACATAAACATTGTGTTTTACCCCATCCAATAAAATCAGTAATCTGAATGTTTTTCACTTTTTTTGTTTTTCCTTTCTTGGTATGGGATTTGTCAGAACATACCAGCATTTTATTTACTTATCTCCCTAGTGCTACAACATTTCATGTCATCGTTACGGATGTTCTCTGTGCTGCCTCACTCTGGAATTTGGAAATACTCCTGAAAAAATTGACTTTGTTTATAAAAGGTGGCTCAATGTGTAGCATACGACATTATACTATCTTCCAGCTCTTTCTTGGGGTAGCTGAAAGTGCTTTTATCATGAAGTTCCACTTTTTTTATTTAGGCCTCTGTCCACTGTAAATTATGAAAATTGAGATTTTATTTCAATCTGAAATTCTTGAATTAGTTTGAATAATTATTGCACACTTGTTGAACTCGTCTTTGGGCTGTGTTTTTCAGCGTTCATCTGGTGGAATTATGTGGAACTGGAGAGTTCTTCGCATTGAAAGCTATGGATAAGAATGTTATGCTTAACCGTAATAAGGTCTGGATTGCCAAATGCTTTTATACTTTATTCTAGTTTATGTGCAACAATGCCCATTTCTCAAGAATTATCAAATTGCATTTCTTATTTCTTAGTTCGCAGTAGAGGGTCAATGCTCATTTGATGTATAAACAATCTGCCTTCTCTTTTCCAGGTGCATAGGGCTTGCGCTGAAAGACAAATTCTGGACTTGCTAGATCACCCCTTTCTTCCAGCTTTATATGCTTCTTTCCAGGTACAAGTCATTTTGGTTGGCTGCAACCAGATATGCTTTTGTAATATAGAACTGGACCGAATCTTGCATGGACCTAACTGACCTCTGGTTTTTATATAGTTGGCATTCTCAACTGATGCTTCGATGACATTTGTTAGTTGTATGCCATTCATTAAAGAAAGTACAGAACTTTAGATGCACTGTCAGCAATTCCCCTTCTGTTCCAGCTTGTTTATCTTAATTTCTTCTCTCGTGAACAGAGAACTTGGCAGCTATCCTTCTGCATCCATTTCTTTTTCTAGATCATATGTTACAACTTATGAAAAGTTCAGGCCCGATTTGCTACATTCATTTGAAGTTCATTTTTTTTCTTGTTTTCATCTTAAAGAAGTTTAACATAAATATTTATGTTCAAACATTATCTAGATGCTGTTTTACTGAGTTTTACATAAAATTATTTTTATCTGATGGATATTTTATTAGGAGGAAAATTGAAATTTACTTTTTGATACCTTTTTGCAGACAAAGACACACATCTGTTTAATAACGGATTATTGCCCTGGGGGCGAGCTTTTCCTGCTTCTAGATAGACAGCCCATGAAGGTCCTTAAGGAGGATGCTGTTAGGTATTATCTTCTTTCTCATAATCGTTAAGGAATTTTGAGCTGTGTCTATTTGCATTAGTGTTACCCATGACTTTCTGTTTCCTTTTTGTTTTGTTTTTTGTTTTTTGCTTCTTCTCTGTGATGCTTTCTATCTTTCCATACTTAGCATGGGAGGAAAAGGAAAAATATTGAATCTAGTACTTAGTTATACACTCTCATCTTTTCATACATAAAAAATTCCCAAAAGCTCAAGACAAAATACTGCAGAAGACATATGGTTCGCCGGACATGGAGCACTAGACCCATTATTAGTCAAAATTGGATTTCGAAGACCAATTTATTGCAAAGCTGCATGATTTTCTCGATAACGACTTGGTTCAATGGCTTTGGAAAGAGAGACCCTAGTAGGTTAGAAAATAAAATGCTCTAGTTAGTGTTTAATCTGAGCACTTCTGAACGTGTACTTGATCCCAATTGATGTTACTGTATAAATTAGTGCTAGTAATGACTAGTGATCTTAGTTTGCTGATGTGATTTGGTACTCTTTCACTACCTTTGGCACGTACGTCGATTTTTTTCTAAAAGTCTAGCTTTGATTATTTTCTTTGACGAAGAAAACCATCACAAAGAACACCTGCTGAGGAAAAGATAGCTAGCCATCTATTTGGAGTAGTTCCTTTTCTAGTAAAAGGCACCTATGTCAACATTTTACACTTTGTGAAAGAGTCTTAAGGAATAGGGTTGCTTCAGAAGTGGCAATTCTTTGCTCATCCTTGTGTCTTTGAATCTAGTTAAGAAGTGTCCCATGGAGTATGATATCTGGTAATCTATATTTAAAGCATAGTGAATTTTTAAATAAAGAAAATCCAACTTCAACTTCCCCATTTCACTGGTCTCTTTAGGCATACCTCATTGTCGCATTCATTTCTTTGTCCTCACTAACTGGAAATATTGAATGACATTATTTCTGAAGCTATCATCTCAAGTCTTCTGATCATGTACTCAGAAACAACGAAGACTGCACCATGAAATTTGTATTATGATCAATTTATATCCCAAAATGCTTCAGAATGAATTCTCGATGCCCATATCTGTTAGCTTCATTAGGTTCTGGATCAGAAATTGCTTATATAGTATTCTAGCTGTCCCTTTCTGAAGGAGTCAATGCATGTTTATTCCTTTTCCTTTGAGGATTTAACTCTCTCTAAGAAAGAACTTAACTAATGAAGTTACGATCCTATTGCAGATTCTATGCAGCAGAAGTTGTTGTTGCTCTAGAATACCTTCACTGTCAAGGTAAAAATCAGCTTGCCTTTATACTATAGAGGTAGAATTTCTTTGAAAAAATAATTTTCACTTTGTTTTGCTACATTAACAATTTCTTGTGCTGTTCTAACTGTTGCCTCTTTTTATCATTGGTTAAGGCTCGTCTCGCATAATTGTATTAGTTTTTTTAAATGGCTACTCATGCCAAAGATTGTGATGAGAAAAGTATAGTTCAGTCTGGTTATGACTTTAGTTTCATTTTATACAAGTGGATCTGATCCCTGTATCTATGTCATTTCTTCTATGATGAAAAATTAACTTCCCAACATGGGTGAAGCCAGATGTGACAAACACTATTTTCTTTCTTTGAGACCTCATCTACAACTTTATAAGTACAGATGTTGGTTTATGTTTTCAAGTGGAAACAACAAGCCATGCGTTTAGGTCATACAAGTAAGAAGGAAAAAAGAAAACGTGACAAAAAGGAATGCCTGGATAAATAAGTGGGAAGAGGTTGACAGATAATCAAAATATTTTTTTGTTCAAAATAATGCTTATAAAAAATAAAAATCTTAGGAAACACATGTGTTTCCTCAGTTATTTATACATTATTGATTTAGTTAAACATAATATTGTTCACCTGTCCATGTATTTTGTTTGAGCTTACACTATGCATGTCTCAAAATGACTAGCCAAATAAGATGGGTTGTATGGTACAGGATTTTAATTATATGAATGATGACACTAGCTTTGTAACTTGTAATCATTTGGGCAGATGGTGTTGTGTCTAAAACATAAGAAATAATCATACGTATGGGCTCATGCAGCGTTTTCACATTTTACCATATCTTTGTTTATTGCATCTCCAGGTATAATCTATAGAGACTTAAAACCTGAAAATGTATTACTTCAAGGCAATGGCCATGTATCACTGACAGACTTCGATCTATCATGTTTGACGTCTTGCAAACCCCAGGTACAAACAATATCTACTGATTTGTTAAACATCTATCCTCCAACCTCTCTATTTCAATAACCATTAGTTTTATCTAAAAATTATTGCTATAACCTTTTAGAATGAAGAACTATTTTCTTTCTTGTTATAATATGATGATTACATAAAATTATGCCATTTGGTAACAACATGAGTTAAACTTTATGGTATCATGGTTAAGGAAATAAATTGCAAAAACAAAGAGCAAATTATTTATTTATTAGTAAATTTACAAATTGAGTCTATCCTTTTGCAGCTTTTGGTTCCCAATCCTCCGGACAAGAAAAAACATCATAAGGGTCAACCTGCTCCCATTTTTGTTGCTGAACCTATTCGTGCATCAAATTCTTTTGTGGGAACTGAGGAGTACATTGCACCAGTATGAGCTACCCATCTTTCTTTCTCTAAATCATAGATTTATGGTAGATGGAGCAAGTGACTGCATCTGATATTGAATGTCTTACAATGAACTTTTTCCTTGACTCATTATCTTCATTTCTTAATTATCTTATATGATCTCACAACTAATCCTAGCTTTCTAAGATTGACATGACATTTTGAAAGGTTTATGTTTCTTTTCTTTTAATGCAGGCAATGTCATTGAGCTAATTATGTATGCTACCTGAACGTCCATCCACCTCATTTGCTATCTTACATGTGTTCAAGTTTATACTTTGTGAATCTTATTTTTGACTTAATGTTATTAATATAATCTTTGTTGCAACTTTATAGATTTACTTTGAAAGAAAGTTTTCTTATCCTAGTTCTCATTCATTTCACTTTATACTTTGAATATGATGTACAAGCTTGTTGGAGAATAGATCCTTTTCATGTAGTAGAGAATGTTTCAATTTTCTAATTACCATATTTTCCTTTCGGGATTGACAGGTCTGCACAAAGTAAATACATCTATTGCATCTAATAGACTGCAATGGAAGTTAGAAATTGAGCTATTATCTTTAGGCAAACTTTATCCACTAAGCCAATTGTATATCATCCAATGGAAAAAAAGTGTTTTAAGGGGCGACTCTTGCCATCCAATGTGAGAAGTTCTAATTGTTAACAAGAACTATTAGTCTTAGCTTCTAGGCAAAAACAATTTCTTGCTTGTGGTTCTAGAAAGTTACTTTGCAACAACTTATTTCACAAGACTAGTTTCAATGGGAAGAGGGTTGGGCATGATGGAGTCACTTCTGCCTATCCAACAAGCGATGTGGGGGAAATGGGAATGTGCTATAATGCAACATGAAAGAAACCAGGACAGGGGAAGAAGTCATTATAATATTATGCAAGCCGTATGATATTTGCATAAATATGAGTTCTTTGCAATGCAGGTCAAGCAATCCCCTTTGCAGTTCCGAAGCAATGTATTACTTTCAGCTCACATGCACTACTTTGTCCGGATTGATCAATCGGAGATGGCTGTGAAATCCACTTCTTAACAGATGCTACTTTCCTATGTGATCTGTATATGCCCCTTGTGCTTCTGCCGGAAAGAACTAAAGCCTTACTCAACACAGGATTCATTAGTTTGCCACATGATTAGCTACCATGTTACCTGACGTAGGAAATGGTATTTTGAGATATATCAATCTTTGTGCCTAGCGTAATCAATTTCTGAATAGATCCAATTCAGGCTCCCCCTCGTGTGCCTCCCATTTCTGCTGATTCCAAATAATGAGCTAGATTCAAGCTCCCTTTATAGGTTCTTAGAGCAATCCCCTCAGCATCTATAGGTTCTTAGAGCAATCCAACATCCTATAGGTTTATAGATTCTAGCATCCCTCTATAGGTTCTTAAAGCAATACCTCAGCATGTTTTATCCTTCTGAGAGAAATTTGGGAAGGAGAGAGAGAGATGATTTCCTTGTTTCTTTGGTGACTTTTGATGGTTTCTAGTGGGTTGGCAATGTTTTCCTTATCTTGCTAGGTAATGCTATAGGCTTTTTGTCATTTTCTTTAACAAATAGACAAAGCGTGTTAAAGGGTTTTGGTATGTTAAGAGTTCCATGTCTTCATTTTTATTCAAGATTAACTGAAAGGTTTCTACAGTAGGTCAAGAAATAGTGTCAATGAAAAGCTTTAGGGCTTGGATTATTCTAATTACTTCAGCAAAATGATGTTTCATTGCAAGCAGGTAAAAACATATATTTATCCACTAAGAAACTGGCCAGACCTTTCATGAAGTTACAAACCTATTGGAAAAATATTTAAAATAAGAAAAGATTATGTATATCCTTTAAAGAGGAAAATATTAGATTTTAGTTTAGGTATGGGTTTGTATTTTCCTTATAAAGGGAGTATATGGAAATGAATAAGAACATAGCTAGTTTCCATTTTACTAGAGATTTGGAATTCAAATTTCGGGTTAAGGTTTTAGTAAGGTGGATATTATAAATAAAGGTGCTATAAGATATGCAGGGGAGAGAGAAAATTAGAAAAAATCCTCATGTTATATCTAATAAAAAATATTATTTATTTATTTATAACATTTTCATTATTACTTGAGCAATAATTATAGATAAATTGCTTTGAGAATTTCCCTAGTGATGCTTACAATTTGAAAAGTCATGGCTATAAAGAATCATGCTTCCTTAAAGTGACAGTGATCTTTGTCTCGCTAGATCTTAAACATAATTCTTCTTTTGATTATAATCATGTGCAATTTTGTTCTTGATTCTATTAGATCATTAAAGCATATTTTCTAGTTTTCCTATTTTTCCGAAATGAATAAGAAGTGGCTCCACAACATCTGCAAATGACTTTAATGTCTGGTATGTCTGAAGTTTTCAAATTATTTTGCAGGAAATTATCACAGGTTCTGGCCACACAAGTGCAGTTGACTGGTGGGCTCTTGGTAATTCCTCTATTATCTTTGGAAAGATACTGTGATACTGTGTACCTCAGTTATATTTTCGTTGCCATACTGCTTTAAGTGTTGCTGCACATACTGTGATAAAGCAAGTTTATAATCAATGGCTAAACAAGAGGAGCATATGCACCGATTGGATGGCTAATTTCATCTCAATGCTTGCATCTTGACTTCTGATGTTACTTTTCAAGTCAACTTCTGTCTTTGTCATTTCTATAATACTTGTCCTTAATATTTGGAGAAAACTCGTCGAGTGACATACACAGTAGTAAATGTTAATTTACTTTTGGAAAATTGTTTCATGCGGTATGGACCGCATTTCTACATATGCGGTCTAGAAAGTGTAAAGCATCTGGATGTAAGTACGTGTTCCACCTAAAAATAATGGAAACTAACAGTCCAAATGTTTTCTTATTAGAATTGTTATTTCTAGTTTTTAAAATTTATTTAATTTTTCATATTAATGATCTCCATGTTAGAGATTACATGTCCTTAAAAATTAAGCCCTAAAATGCATCTCAAAATAGATTTATTAAGAGGCCCGCATTTCTACATATGCAGGCTTGGCTGCATAGAAACCGGGTCCTTTAATTTTTGTCGAGTGAATAAGTTACCCTGGCTACAATCAGTTTCATAATTGTGATTATAACAACATTGGCTCAGGTTTTAATTATACTGCATGGCTGCAAGTATAATCGGATTATCTTGATTGAGTGATTATCCAAACTGTTTTCTTAGGCATTCTTCTCTATGAAATGCTTTATGGCTACACACCGTTCCGAGGAAAGATAAGACAGAAGACATTTGCAAATATTCTTCACAAGGATCTTAAATTTCCATCTAGTACACCGGTAAGTTATTGTCCAGATTGGTGAGTCATTTCTTTTGTTGATAATAAATACTATATAAGTACAGATGGTCATTGTTTTCCACATTTTATTCCTTCATTCAGTATACTTATAATCAAATGGTATTTTTGTCAAAGCTTAATGGTGATTTGTTTAGATTCGAAACCTGAAATTTCAACAGAGTCTACCGGTTTTCACTGTCACATCAAGTTATTTGCTTTCACCTTCCAAATCTTATCTTTCCCAATTTCGATAGCTGATCACAGATTTTTTTCAGCATCAAAACCATGGCATTATTTCTTGTCTCATTGGTATAGTTTTTATTGGTTGTCAAAGCCAACATGGTTCGGCTACTTAAAACTTTTACATAGTCTTGATCTCTAAACTGACCTTGCATTATCTATTTTTCCTCATTTACTCTTATTTCTCTCCAAAAACAATCAAGTTGACCCTAAAAGTTGCATTTTATTTTTTGGTTAAAAAAAGATAAAAGTCGTGGAAGCAATTCTTTAAGTGTGCAGTAGGGCTCCAGATCATTGGAATGGTAATTTTCTTAATGCGAACAGTTTGGTTTGTCATGTATTGAAACTTTATTCAACAAAACTAAGTGTCCAACTCGCTCAGTTGGACTCATATGATGTAAGTCTCTGAGGGATCAACCTTAAAGAGGGAGTTCCTGTGGATTGTTTTATTTCTCAAGGAATATAACATATTTTGGATGTGATGTTATGCTGATGTATCATTCTTTATGTATGATTAGCCCATGTTTGAATTCACTTGTTTATTTGTATTCATGCAGGTAAGCCTTCATGCAAGGCAGTTGATGTACCGTTTGCTGCACAGGGATCCAAAAAACAGATTGGGTTCTTCCGAAGGAGCCAATGAACTTAAGCAACACCCATTTTTTCGTGGAATCAATTGGGCTCTTGTCCGGTGCATGGTTAGTGCACCAATCCTTACCTTAGTAATCAATTGTTACTCGTGTAAGATTGATATGCTAGTTCTTTTTGTATGCATGAATTACCTCCCTGTTTTGCTTTGAAATTATTTTCTAAACTCCTTGAATACCATAATGCTACTTTTAATTGCAAAAGTTACCATATTTTATTATCAGAGGTATAGAGGATAGTCACCGGAAGCCGCGAGTTTCTGAAAAAATTTTCTAACCTCCACATTAGAAAACTCAAACGAGACCAAAAAGGCCATAAATGGGTGCACCAAACTGTGGCAATAACGTCATTGTTTTCACACACCCATCGAAAAGAGAGAAGTTACCCAGCTTGGACTTCCACTATTAATGGGGAGCCCCATTTTTTCACCCCTGCTTATACTTAAAACACTGCTGAAACATCCATGAGACTACCAACAAAGAAAGATCCTTTTCTTCTGTTCCCCTCAAAAAGGAACTTCTGTAATGTGCTATAACCGCTTAAGACTGCATTTTTTATTGACCATAAAGGTGAGAGTGATTTCATTGACATGACTAGTGACTTCTCCAAATGGGGCCTAATTAATCACAAAAAATTTATGAAAACTATTTTATCAGTCTTTTCTTGAAGCTTAACAAAAAATCTCCACAAAATTGTCCTTTTTTTTTGAAATTCAATTTATTTCTATTTCCACTTCTTGGACAAGTAGATTTTTTTTCTCCTGGTCTTTTGGCGATTTTCATATGTAGTTCTGCCTCTGTTTCCTGAGTTCTTAAATTAAAAGTTTATTTTGTCTCTAAACTACCAAGAACTTGCCAAATTTTATTTCATCACTTGCTGCCGACGATGCAGGTGAAAAATATAATTTTAATGATAAAAACTAGTGATACAAAATGGAGATGAGCTTATGAACCCAAAAATATTTTCGAAACTGGATAGGAGTGGACGCATTTTCTGAATGTTCCTTGCAGCCCCTCAGATAACATGGAAGTAGCTAATGTAGATAGTTGAAGAATATTATATAATTGTGATTTCTATAGTACTGATTCTTGCCATGGTTCCACACTTTGCTTGTCTAACAAATCAAGATTACCTTGACTCGTGCTTAAATCAAAGAACTGAGTTCATGATTTGGTGATAGAAGGTCTTTGTCAACGCGACTATTATGTTTTTGCACTTGGGCAATTTAATTCGGTTGGCCTTAAGGAGAAATCTAGCATTGCTTTGTGTGTCCACCTGAGTGATTTAATTGAGTTGGTCTAGAAAAGAAATCTTACATTGTTGATGTTTTCAATAACTTTAATTTCCTGAAAATTTCAGAGCCCTCCTCAACTTAATACACCTCAAGGAACAGACAAAGAGGCCAAGGAAAATGTCAAGGACAGCTTCCAAGAAAAAGAAACACTCATTGATATACAGACCAATGTCTTTTGAAAACCTACTGCAATTTCCTGGTAAGCAAAAAATCTAAGAATGAACCATCTCTGAAGTTTTAAAATGAATCAGTAGTTTATGTACATAGTATCGAGAATGTTATAGAAATTATTTGCTAAGCCTTTTACTTCTTAAGTTTTCACTATTTATTTTGATTGCAGAATCAAATACTCTTTATGGAAGCAACCCTACCAGGATATGCTTGGATCAATCTCCAGTTCTCCTTTCATTGAGAACATAGGTGCTTGTGATGTTACTAAGGATGTTTATTTTTTTGTTTATTGATTTATTAATTATTTTATATGGAGTGTTATGCTTTTCCTGACTTTTTTCATTAAGTGGAATTTGAAAGTTTGATCGAACATTCTTCATGTCTGGGTGAATTGAATTTAGGCATTTGTCAAATATAGATAACGAAAATACCCAAACTACTATGAAGTCCTAGTGAATAAGAACATAATTTTCGATTCGGGAAACACCTACTCTAGTTTATCAATATAAAACTCGGGTTTGCCCGAGTTGAATTATATATAATAGTGTTTGTGTTCTATTTGCAGCAAAATGCCAAGTTTCATAGCAATAGCAACTTGCTCTAAATAATGGTTTTTTTTTTTTCCTGCACAAAAAAATTGAAAAACTCTGCTTCGTTACAAATGTTGAACTTGGCTAGTTCTGGGTGTCGAGGAGCTACTTAAATCTTTTAGTTGGCAAGTCAACTCGACAAGGTGGGTTTGAACCATAGTTACCGGGAGTGGGAGTGGGAGTGGCAAGTCAACTCGACAAGGTGGGTTTGAACCATAGTTACCGGGAGTGGGAGTGGGAGTGGGAGTGGGAGTGGGAGTGGGAATGGGAGTGGGAGTGGGAGCGGGAGCGGGAGCGGGAACAGGAACGGCTCCAGTTCCGGGAGCTAGAGCGTTGGATCGAGGGCTGCCTAAAGCTCCGGAGCTCGAGGAGCGAGGTCCAATGAGGGTAAAAGTTGCGGATCAAGATTCCGTATAAACAGGGAGCGCGTTCCCAATACATTACGATTGAGGTCCTTATTTAACGGGAACGCATTCCATGTACAATGGGATCGTGTTCCCATGCTCATTAGGATCACGCTCCCATAGACAACAACAATGGGATCTCATTTAAAGTTGAGTCGCGCCTCCATCTAAGTAAAATGCTTTCCTATTTGGAATGGATCGAGCTCCATTCAAGGTTGGTTCGCGTTCCGCTTAACTTGGAGCCAATCTCCACATGTCCTCTCTCTCTTTCTCTCTCTCTTTCTCTCTCTTGACCAAACATTCACCACCTCTTCAACCTCCGCACCCTTAATCCAATGGACCCATCTTCCAAAACATGCCCCTCTCTCTCTCTCTAATTTCATAAGCAGAATCGTCTAACTTCACAGTGAGTTGTCTCTTTCTCTCTCCTCAAAAGCACAATAACAACAAAAATCTACATACCCATCTCAACTTCGTTTGCTAGCAGTTGGGGACCTCCAAGGCGATCACCAAAAGGCCAAACAAGCTATGAAAATGGCTAAAATCTTCGATGAAAAATTATTCACTGGATTGCAGGCAACTCCATTGTTGTGAAGCTTGTGATATCCTTGACACAGGAGGAGAAGAGTTCAAGCTCCTTTATTTTTTTTGAAAAACACAAACAAGATTTTACAGGGGAACCATGAAAGCCTGAATATACAAAGAGATTTCAGGTATGTTATAAAAGTTGGCCTTGACGAATTCAAGAAATTTCAGGTATGTAATAAAAGTGACTAATTTTCTATAGGAATTCAAATGAAAAATATTTGTAAAGGATTGGAAAAGCAAATTAACATTTTTAATAAAGTACCCAAAAATGACCCATTTGGAATTAGGGCTATAATAGCTGCTTTGAGTCTTGGAGGCCCAATTTTTACGTGCTTTTTAGCTGCCCTACTATTTTAATGGTGGGTGGCTCTGTTTTTGTTCATGGTGGGATCCTCCCTAAAGATGGAGTTTTGAGAACGTAGGGATCGCAATCCCAAAATTCTGAAAGAGGGGATCTAATTTGTTCGGGAACACATTCCGTGGGATAGTGGGAGTGAGATCCGTGCGGTAGCGGGAGCGAGATATATGTGGTAGCAAGAGCGAGTTCCATTGTGAATGGGATCGAGAATCCTCAAGATAGGAACGAACTCTCAAAAAGTTGGGAATGGGTTCCGGACGAGATCCTGGCCACGGAGCGCCGGACATGGGTCCCGGAGCGGGAGCGCCACCCTAATTGGGCACTCCCGGTAACTATGGTTTGAACCAGTGCATTGAATTAAAATGATTAACTTTATATAGGGTCAGAAACGGTTCAATTGGCCTAACCGGGCATGCCCTGCATGGTAAAAAGTGTTAAAAAATACAAAAAAAAAAAATTCTAACAAGATATGAAAAAATATTTAAAGCATCCTTAAACAAAACACATCCAAAACAATTTCCAATCTTTGCCAAAATGATGAAAACATTAAAAAATGTATGACAAATAAAATACCTTCTTTTTACAGATTTTATATAACTTTTTTTATATGTTTTTAAAATAGCCTGCAGGTTCATCAAAATCGGCCGAAATCGAAACCGGCCAGTGGCCTGTTAACCATGCGGTTAGAATTTGAAGAGCCCGATTTTTCCTACACTGGTTTGTATTGGGTTTATGTGGCCTTTAAAGGCCTTATGAGTACTTGTAAAATAAAATGATATAGTGGAACATGAACTCAGTGGGAGTGTGGTCCCTCGCGAACCATACTAAGCAAACAATGGTTTGCTGATACCGATATGTGCTTAACGATCTAGGGCAGTCGGTTGGAAAAAACCCATGTTACCTGGGTATGAAGAACAAACCGATGAGGGTTTATGGGTTAGCCCTTGATGAGGTCGGAGAACATGCCTGGATGAGTGAGCCAAGGGACTGTGTGACCCTTATGTGTGATGGTAGCCTATAGAGACGGGGGACCAAAGCCTCATCCATGTGCCATCACACGGCATGCATATCGATAGATCATTCGGGAAAACCAGAAATTCACCTTTTCTGGTGAAGCATATGAGCTATGGTTGCATCAGGTCTAGGTGACATTGACTCGTCTCTAAGGGATGACCTAAACTCCACAGACTAGGATTGCGACCCCTTCATTCATCGACCTGACTTGGTGACCCGTTAATGAACCCCTGCTTGGACTGTGGGTCATATGAAACACTGGGTTGGTTCGATAAAACTAGTGTGGTCAGTCCACAGTTCAAGGTGGCGTATCCCGTTATTACAGATTGGATTTCTAAAACCATATGGATCATTTTCTCATCATATTAATTTAATTGTGTTTATTTTATTATTGAAATGATTTGTAGTTTTATTATTTGAATTTTTATGAATCTCTCAATATTTTATTTGTGATTTTTGGACTTATAAAAATACAGTTATTGTTCTTACAAAGTTATAAAAATTCAATTATATATTTTAAATTATTTTATTCAATTTTAAAAATAATATTTTTTTTATAATATTCTATGGGGGCCCATAGTGCACATGGGCCCACCATGTGGCATGTGGATGGGGGCCCACATGTGCCACAAAAGGTTGGCACGCCCCACCCTCTTTGGATTCTCTTGTTTGCTTTTAAGATAATATTAGTTTGATTTGTGGCATGCGGTCAAATCTTGGAAAGGGATATATTGACCATGGCTTTATCTATTTTGTAACAAGTTTGTTTTAAAGAGATATGGTCAATTTGAATTGATATGGATCTTATCTTATTTATATTTAGTAGTATTTATCTACTTCATATTATTTGACATATCCTTATGGAATATGTGACATGGATCGTACAATTTTATTGAATGGATGCTATTTATTTTATTTAAATATATGGATGGGAAAATGGTATAGGAAGGAGGGATAATGGTTCATGCACTTTCCATAATGTTGATAGCCCATCTATGAAATGGATGGCTCATATCTCTCACCCCACAAGTCTCCCTTGATCGATGGTATATGTTCAATCTTACAAGAAGAGGCAAACTAAGGAAAACCTTAAGAAACCCTAATCTTATTCAAAGCCTATAAAAAAAGATTGTCTCTACCCAAAAATCTCTATACCTTTATCTTTTGTACCTAATTTCCATCTGTCTCTCTCATATCCCAAAAAAAGGGTACGCACTACTCTCTCATGTTTGATCTCTCTCACACACATTTTGAAAGAACCTAAGGGTTTAAGTTATTGAGTTTTTCTCTCCTATCTCTCAAATATGGATTTACGGCTAAGGGTTTTAGGGTTTAGCAAAAAGAGAATCCATCTCTCTCAAACTAGGTTGCTAAGAGAATTCACCTAGGGTTTGAGTTTGTGATAAAAGAGTTCATATTCCATTGGTATGGCTTGGCCGAAATTTGCTTTCCCGGTTCGAGATTGAAGCTAGACCGTTAATCACGGACCATCCGATGGTAGTGACTCAGTGTGGGGTATCATAAACCCGGTTGAGGTAATCTCCGTCACTCTTCTTTTTTGTTTCTTACAATCTTATCTTTTATTCTCAAGTATAGTATATAGTTATTTCAATGGCATCAAGTTGTTAAAATTTTGGTTTTATTGTTATGTAGATTTTATTTTGAAATTTATCTTATTATAATAAAGACCACCCGTAAGTGATCTTTTATCAAAAAAAATGGGTGAAAAAAAATAAAAATAAATTGTATTCCATGGTAAAAGATCATATAGGTCTTTCTTGCAGTTTGAACCCCATTTTGAACAAGATTAATATTTTCCTGCACAAGAATAAAAGGGAAAACCCGCCCATTGTTGCGAGTCAAATGGTTAACCGGGGGATTCAACTCATTCTTATTCGGGGGCATCACCGAGTTCGAACTTTTGGGCACAGCTTTCTTGGATAAAACGGTGAAACTGAAATGTCACCACGTAGATCATATACAAAGCACAAAGCCAAACTGCTGGAGAGGTAAATCATTCAATATTCTACGTGGTACTGAATATGAAATAGGCCTCTATCGCATGGACCCTTGGTCCAAGTAGGGGTGGCAATGGACCAACGAATAGACCCGACTTCGGGTCCGGGTATGGTTCTAAATTTTAGACCCAAAATATTGGGTTTGAGTTCAAAACCTGGGCCCAAAGACTATTTGGGTCCAGCTGATCCGAATAATATGAGTGTATGTGGGTAGCCATAAATGTTGCCAATACGTTTGTTTCTTAGGAATTTTTGGTTATTATGTAAAATAGTATGGAATGTGAGTATATGTGGGTATTCGTAAATGTTGTGCAGTAGTATAAATGTTGTCAATAATATGGGTATATGAGCCTTAAAAAAAGGTGGAAAAGATAAATAAATAAACTCAGCTATAGCCCAC